CAAACTATTCCAAAACATAGAAAAGGATAGAATCCTCCCTAACTCATTTTATGAAGCAAGCATAACCTTGATACCAAAACCAGGCAAAGATATCACTCAAAAGGAAAACTACAGAGCAATATCCCTCATGAGTATAGATGCAAAAATCTCAATATCCTAGCCAATAGACTCCAACAACATCAAGAAAATAATTCATTATGACCAAGTGGGGTTCATATCAGGTATGCAAGGATGGTTCAACATTAGGAAAACAATCAGCATCTTTCACCACATAAATAAAACAAAGAAAAAGAACCACAAGATCATATCAATCAATGCAGAAAAGGCATTTGATAAAATCCAACACCCATTCCTGATCAAAACTCAGCAAAATAGGAATAGAAGGGACATTACTCAACATAATAAAGGGCATCTGTGGTAGTTCAGTTTGTGCATCAACTTGGCCTGGCCTAGTTGAGTGACTGGACAGCTGGATGTAGTATTCCCCATGATGAGACTGGTAATCAGCTCCCTGGTGGAATATACTGTGAGCAGCTGAGTATCTGCCTCAGGGAATGTGATCTGCTTCCTATATATAAGCAGAAGCCTTGGGGGATGGTCTCTAGCCTATGGCACGCTTGGATCCTGCTTGTAGCCGTGTTGTTGTTCAGCAGCCTGCCATACTCTGCCATCCTAGGGACTTAAATCGACTTAAATTAATGGTCGTGGATTTGGAAACATCAGGAATGTGCCATTTTATTTGTCGACTTTGGGCTTTTTAGCCTCAGCAGCCAGTAGCTGTCTGAGTGAAGAAAAGCCTCTAGTTTCAGTGGGCTGGGAGCAGGGGGCAAAGCTGAAGCCCAAGGTCAATGAGCTTTCACACAGCCCCTAGAGCCTGGCACTTTGAACTTGGACTTCTAGCCTCCTGAACTGTAAGAGAATAAACTCCTGTTTGTGAAGGCCTTCCCATTTGTGGTATATTCTTGTCAGAGCAGCACAATGTAACCAGAACAGCATCTATGCAAAACCAACAGCCAACATTATTCTCTATGGAGAAAGACTGAGACCATTCCCCTTGCGAACAGGAACCAGGCAAGGATGCCCTCTATCACCACTTCTATTCAACACTGTATTGGAAGTCCTAGCCAAGGCAATAAGGAAAGAAAGGGAAATAAAAGGCATCCAAATTGGTAAGGAAGAAGTCAAACTATTCCTATTTGCTGATGATATGATCTTATACCTAGAAAACCCAAGAAACTCAGTCAAAAATCTACTAGAACTAATTGAGAGATTTAGCATCATGGCAGGATACAAGATCAGCATTCAAAAATCAGTTGGATCCCTCTACACCAACAAAGAGATGGCTGAAAAAGAAATAAGGAAATCAATACCATTTACAATAGTTACCAAAAAAATAAAATGCTTGGGAATAAATCTTACCAGGGACACAAAAGACCTGTAAAAGAAAACTGAAAAAACTACTTTAAGAAACCATAAGAGATCTATATAAATGGAAGAACATACTAGACTCATGGAAAGAAAGATTGAATGTTGTGAAAATGTCACTTCTACCCAAAACAATCTATACGTTCAATGCAATCCCAATCCAGATCCCATCAACATTCTTTAAGGATATGGAAAAACCAATCAATAACTTTACATGGAAAGGAAAGAGACCTCAGATCAGCAAAGCACTATTGAAGAAGAACAACAAAGTAGGAGGTCTCACACTCCCAGATCTCAAAACCTACTATATAGCCACAGTAGTCAAAACTGCTGGGTACTGGTACAGTGACAGAAACATAGACCAATAGAATAGAATTGAGAACCCAGAAATAGATTCATTGACCTGTAGTCAGCTGATCTTTGACAAAGGGCTGAAATCCATTAAATGGGGAAGAGAATGTTTAATAAATGGTGTTGGCAAAACTGGATATCCATTTGCAGAAAAATGAAACAAGATCTGTACCTCACACCACAAACAAAAACTACCTCCAGATGGATCAGACTTAAATATGAAACCTAAAACTGTAGAGTTACTCAAGGAAAAAATAAGGGCAAATTTAGGGGTCCTAATATATGACATAAATAGACTATCAAGCATAACCCAAAATGCACAAACAGCAGAAGAGAAACTAGATGAATGGGACCTTCAAAAATTAATTTGCTATGTGTTTCCAAAGCTTCTCCAAAAGAGTCAAAAGAGAACCTACAGATTGGGAAAAAATATTTGGCAATGATATATCTGACAAGGGACTTATCTCTAGAATTTATAGAAAACTCGAACACCTCAATAACAAAAAGACAAATAATCTAATTTAAAAAATGGGCAGAAGATATGAATAGACACTTCACCAAAGAGGATATTCAGGCGACCAACAAACATATGAAGAAATGCTCATGATCATTAGCCATTAGAGCGATGCAAATCAAAACAACAATTTGATACCATCTTACCCCAGCATTAGTAGCAAAGTTCAACAAGATAGAAAATAACAAATGCTGGTGAGGATGTGGAGAGATTGGGACTCTCATCCACTACTGGTGGGACTGTCAAATGATACAACCACTGTGGAAAGCAGTATAGTGATTCCTTAAAAACTTGGAATTAGAAATAACATTTGACCCAGCCATTCCATTACTAGGTATATATCCTAAAGAAATGAGAGCCAGTACAGGGACAGATATACACATACCCATGTCATTACAGCTCTATTACAATAGCCAAAATATGGAAACAACCTAGTTGTCCATCAGCTGAAGAATGGATAACCAACTATGGTACATACACACAATGGAATACTATGTAACCCTAAAGAATAATGTAGAATATGCAAAACACCACATAACATGGGT